AACGTAAATACTGACACTAGTGAGTAAAAGTAGAAGATATAAGCACAAAAAGTGTTTGACCTATTTAGTGAAATGTGACAGATTCTTTCCGACCAGTGGAGTATTTCTGAATCCTTCTTTGGTCTGAGTATGTTCGAGACAATTATTTTTTAAAAACTGAAATCACACCCGGATAACCTAGAGGATGATAACTAAACAAGATATTCGAAAACCTGGGTGGTCAAAATACGATAGGTTTAATGACTGATCTGGCCTGATATCGCATCCAATCCATTTTACGAAAGTAGAAGGCAATTATCAGTCTGAAGAGTGCATGATGATAGCAAATCTGTAATTCCATTTAAAGATCATTACTGCGTCAAGATCCATCCTAATTATTTTCGTCAATGAATGACAGCGTAAAGAAATATTAAGACGGTCAAGATAGATAGGAATCAACACCTGCTTGGTATGCTCCACAGTTCGAAACTATGTGGAAAGTAAGCGAATAGAAATACCAGTATCAGTACTAGTGAGCAATTAACTATAGGGAACATATTTTGAAAGGAACATGAAAATTGGGAGCGGCTAACTTTAAAATACATTATCCAAAGTTTGTAACCTCAGATAATTTCTAAATATTCTTGAAAAACGACAAAGGCTTATAAAATATTTTGTTCCAGCCATGTAATTGAATAAGTAATAGTTTGGCGTATGAACCAATTGTTGGTCACCGGCTACCATGGGACTGCATCTCCTTACGATGCTCCACTGCCTTGTGGATCGGACCTTCAGGTCGAAGGCTCGGGGTGCGGCCCTCTAAGAAAACCACTTGCTCCGGTTTGGGCACCCGGGCAGTATCACAGCCCTCACGCAAATCAAATGAGATTTGTTTGGCCCATATGTATTTGGTGCCTTCTTGTACCAATATCTATGTGTTAAAATAAATAAATAACTTTGGCCCAGTTCAGTCAAAATGTGTTTAACTTCATCTACGTCGGTATGAGCTAAGTAGTTTCACTAACTCTCAAAGTAAATCCAAGCCGATGTAAAAGGTACCGAGAGAAGATGGTCTAGTCGCATACCAAGAAATGCAATGCAGGCTGGCATATAATTAGGTCGGAAAAAAGCTAGAAGCCATCACTACCAAGTGGTATAAGTTCACAACTGATCCGGCAATGGGTCTGGAGAGGGAACTCGTCGTCAGCAAGATGACCTCAGGTTCTGATAGAAGTATGAGATTGGTTGTCACTTCCGGCTGCCAACATGGGAGAATATTTCTTCTTGAGACCTGAAGAGGAAGCTGAAATTGATGATTCCAGTGAACTGAGAGCGTGACCGCAGTGCCCAAAAGACAACTGCTTCAGGACGGTGGCGTACGGCCTTTTCATGGGAAGCTTTAGACGAGTTAGCATTGCACTTCAAAATAACTTACTGACCAAGACGAGAATCCGTGGGAAAAGGCGAAGTGTGTATTTTTAAGACCGACCTTTTCTAACCCAAACCTTCCGTTGCGGGAAGGCAGCATCGCTTCAGACACTGGTTCTCCAAGAGAAACACCTTACTGCTGTCTAACTCCCCTACAATTAGCAGTACGACTTCGTCCTAGGACACAGGGTTTGTTGCTTTTAGTTTTGTCGTTCTGCAGCCGGCCTGCTAATCATGGCAGGACCTTGAGGAACGATTGTTCCAGCCAGTATGGCCTGACTGGCTCATCACTGCATTCACGCCCGACCACCACATCGAGGTAGAAGCAACGGCCGGGAAATAACCCGACCACATCGAGGGAACAGCAATGATGTCGCAAAGGTATCTACAAAGTGATATCCTAAAATGGCCTGTATATTTTATGTTCATTAGGTGTAGCTCCCCAAATCCTGAATATATATATATATATATATATATATATATATATATATAGAGAGAGAGAGAGAGAGAGAGTAGTGGTAGTAGTAGTAGTACATGTTGTATTATTCGTTGTTTAAATGATGGTGGATGGTTCCTATGTTTAAAACGTAGGTACACAGTGACAGTTTAGTTAAGTCTGGTCTAGGACTTCTCATAACTACTGACTGTTGTTTATTACTGCTTATGTAGGGACACTTACACTCAGGAAAGCAACATAAGTTGTGGCGCCTAATGGACATCTACTCCGTTTAGAAACCTAAAACAAACTCCAATATCCAATGTAAATATCAACAAATTTGAGTCAGAAAGTTTTCGGCTCAATCTGCTGGTGTAAACAGACAACTTTGTGCTTTAAAAGACGTTCAGGGCCTACCATCTCGGCAAACCTCATATAGGTGGGCTACCTGTCCATTCACATAAGGCTCATACAGAAAAACAGGACGAAGCTCACGCGTTCCAAATTGAAAGCATGAACTGCTTATATATGAACGCCGCGAGTCTATCAAACAAACTGGATGAATTACGTGAACTTAGCAATGCTAATAAGGCCCATCTGACGGGAATATCTGAAACCTGGATATCTTCTCAGTTCTCTGATCAAGAGTTAGCATTACCTGGGATGACTTTGTTCCGCAACGACAGAAAAACAAGAATTGGGGGCGGAGTAGCCATGTACATAAGCTCTTGCTTGGAGGTGCACCAAGTTCCCAACCTCGAGTTAAACAATCTTGAGGAATCTATATGGTGCTCTGTAAGAACCGCACTCTTCGCCTGCTAAGCCGCAAAAGGCACTGTTGGGCAGAATACAAACGAACTGACAACAATGGGGCGTACAGACAATACAAACATATAAGGAATATATGCACGAAGGCTATAAGAGAAGACAGGTTTGAGTACCAGACAAAGCTTATGGACAAATTTGTCTCTAATCCCAAAAGCTTATTCAGTTATGCAGCCTCTCTTTGTCAAGCCGAAACTGGAATTTCCCAACTACTAGGTCCTAACGGCCCGACCAATAACGACGGCCACACCTCTAAACTTTTGACTGAACAATACTCTCAGAAATTGCAACCGATCCACATCAACTATACTGAGGACAGCTTCATTTGCAGCTGCACAGGACTTTCCGAAGTGGACCTAAGCGTTGACTTGGTGTTCCGGAAATTGCAGCACTTAAGACTAGATACTTCTCCTGGTCCGGATATGGTTCATCCTGCCATACTGAGGGAGGCAGCCTCAATCCTGGCAACGCCGCTTAGCGTGATGTTTTCACACTCGCTAAGCCGAGGCAAATTACCGGAAAATTGGAAGTTGGCTCACATCACACCAATTTTCAAAGGAGGTCGACGCAATGAACCTTCAAGTTATCGGCCGGTGGCTCTTCTGTCATTACCTTCAAAACTCATGGAGTCCCTGATATGCGACGGTTTAAACGACTATCTACTGTCCTATAATTTTTTCTCACCCCAACAGCACGGTTTCAGGAAGGGTTACTCTTGTATAACCAACCTGCTGACTGCGGTGGACAGATGGACAAGCATCCTCGATCGCAAGGGAAAGGTTGATATCATTTACCTTGATTTCTCAAAAGCTTTTGATAAGGTTAACCACTTGTGTCTTATCAATAAGCTCAAACGACTAGGTATCAAACCACCTCTAATCAATTGGTTTACTTCATACCTAAAAAATCGACACTTTAAGGTTAGAGTTAATTTCACTTTATCTCAGGCTATGGAATGTCCTAGTGGGGTCCCCCAGGGCTCAGTACTAGGGCATCTTCTCTTCTTGATCTACATAAATGATCTTCCTCAACAGGTAACGTCAGACTTATTACCTTTTGCCGACGACGTGAAACTTTGGAGAGAGATACGCAACCAAGACGATATACAGGCACTTCAGGAGGATCTGACTCGACTTCAAAGTTGGGGAGACGATAACGGACTTACCTTCAACACTCCAAAGTGTAAAGTAGTCCATCTGCGACATGTCGCAAACTACAATTACAACTTAGGAAACTCCTCTCTAGTAGTATCCCAAGTCGAAAAAGATTTAGGAGTCCTGGTGCCCTACGATTTAAAGTCTTACGCTAACTGTGACAAAAATGCCTTCCGAGTAAACCTTGCACTGGTAACATTGAAGCGCATTTTTGGACAGTTTGACAGAAGAAGTTTCCATATAATCTTCAACAGTTTTATCCGTCCCCATTTAGAGTACGGAAACAGAGTATTTCCTCCCTCACTCCAAAAGGACAAGGTCACTTTGGAGCGTATCCAACGGCGAGCCACGAAATCAGTTCGAGGACTCAAATCTAAACCATACGAAGAACGCCTCCATTCACTAGACCTTCACTCATTAGAGTATAGGCGTCTTAAAGGTGATTTATTAATGGTTTATAGTATTCTTAACACTTCTGGACATCCTCTTAAACACCTACTTAAGCTTAGCTCGAATAATAACCTAAGGGGTAACACCCAGAAACTGGAAACACAACATAGCAAGACGGAATGTAGACACAACTTCTACTCCTTAAGAGTTGTCAAAAGCTGGAATTCGCTGCCAGCCGAGCTAGTTCAAGCGACTTCCCAGGAGTCCTTCAAGAGGCACCTTGACCTAATCTTAAGGACCAAGGACAGCATCATACTATGATTTACCAATTTCTTTTCCTCTTTTACTGTTAACATACCTAGGTTCCTGCCTGGAGGATTTGGTGATCCCCTGCTACTAGACACGAAAGCCTGTTAAGCGAAAGCTTATTCTATTCCGTTTACAATCATTTGAACCATTTAGATAGTAAAATATAGGTGTCTAGTGAGCATAGTTCGTGCGGATTTTATGGATAAACTAAGGAAGGTCTGAAGGAACGAATTAATATTCCACCTAACTTTTCATTCGCTATTCCTGTCCAACTGAATCTGAATTGTCCAACATTGACAAGATGAGAAGTTGTAACCTTCAAAGGGTTATTGTGAACTCTTAATGATGATTAGCTGCCAAACATGATAATTTAAAAATAATATGAACATTGTAAGTTCTAGAAGTAAAATTAGTGACTGACATAGTTATAGAGCGAAATTTAAACTCCAACATGCAATAAACCGGAAGCAAATTACGACATGATCTCAAGCAGCGGGACACAAAAACGAAGAAAACAGAATGACGATGAAGAGCTGAGGATCAATAATGGTGGTGGCGGCGGTTATGGACCGATGGGTGGAGGCTATGGCGGGTATGACGGAGGTTACGGGGGTTCCTACGGAGGTGAGTAGTTTACTTGATGGTTCTATCGACTAGGTGGTCCTTATGGTGGATATGGCTCAAACGGTGGTGGTGGTGGCGGTGCCTACGGGGGTGGGAATTACGGAGGGGGTTGGGGTCCAAATCACATGAATGGAGATGGTCCTGGCTGGGGCCAGGGAGGAATGGGTGATGGATTTGGGCACTACGGGAACCAACAAAACTATGCCGGTGGTCCGATGCGCGGTGGCCCACCAGGCGGTTACCAGAGGAATGCTCCCTATGGAGGTAAGTTCACACTCCGTCCAAACTAATCTGTCTTCCACATAGGGGGCTATGGCCGCCGTTAATTTCAGTCAGGTAAGAATTTCTTAGTATGAGCATGTTTTCAACGTCTAATTGCTTCTTCATATCCGTTGCAGGGTTAGTATGGCCTCAACAGTTTGGTCTAGGCAGTTCTACTAGCAGAGGAGACAGAGTTGTCCTAGCGCCCTCAAGTTCTAGGTCAGCCAGCAGAAAGTCGACAGCCTGTCTATAGCTGAGGAGGCCAGGGATCCTATTATTCACTGTGTATATACTGTTAACTGTTAATTTTCACTGCATGTGCAATCGAGCGTTCTTTTTAACTGTCATGTCCGTTGTGAGTTAGCATCCAATCAAGAGTGACTTTCATCGTTAAGTGTAAAGTTTCGTATCATAATTGCATAAGCCCATGCAGCGTCATTTTTTAACCCAGCTTTGTCACTAGTATTAAAGGAAATAAAAGTGTTGAAGCCAGTTAGTCTTTTGAGTTATGAGTTTTGTAATTGGTAGTGACGAGGGAGATGGATGCTTGTTGGGCGGGAGACGAGGTTGACTTGCTAGGTCTTCCAGCCCCTTGTGTTAAGCAGGCCTGTCACTATGTCAGGCACTTGAAAGTGAGCAGTTTTAAAATTCGTTGTAGAGCCGTAAATTTGGGTCCAGAAAGGCATGTAGCAAGGTCGAAACCAGGGTATCCATTCACTTTGTTCACAATTTTTGAGTGGTTTTGCAGATCTCGCGGTGCCCCTTGGAGGATTGACACTCGTCCGCGGCGTGGGACGCAATGGACTCGGAAACTTGTATGGTTGAACCATCGTTATGTATGCTGTGAAACATTGTCAAAAATAAATTTACGGATTAATTCCGCATGTACAACTATCTTCTTTTTTTATTACGGTTGTGACTGGGTGAGTTACACGGGTTTGGGTGGACAAGTGGGACTAGTCTTTTCTTTCGCGCGACAGTTCGTTCACTGATTCATCTCATACCGGCGTTCACGTCCCGTAGCGATAAGTCGTCGGTGTTCCTGTATATGAAACAGGCAGGAGCATAGGAGAGTGCTTGTCAACTAGTGGGGTGTTACTTTGGATCACTGAGGGATTGTCAAGTTCCCTCAGACCTTTTGAAAAGCTCCCGAGACTACAGTGTGCTACAGGTGTTGGCTGGGTTTAAGGGGTGGGATGTGTGATGGGAACCCAACTCACAGTTGCACTCCGAGTTGCGAGTTCCCCTCGAGGTTTGAGGTGAGGTGGACTCGCTGGGGGGTGTCGACCATTTGCGATGTCAAGCGGTCGCCTACTTCGCGGAGGGCACAGATCACACCGGTCTGACGACTCATCGTCAGCTACTGTGCAAATTATTCCTGTGTTTCTGAAGTAGATGAAACACTACGCAGTAATACGTCCCGAATAAAACTTGGAGATTAGATGAGAGGCCATGCCATCGAGCTGGTCAAGTAGATTCCAGATTTAGTGGTGATGAATCTGCTCTCAACCCACGTTTTCACGATGAAAGTATGTTCTGAGATGGTCAGGAACTAAATATTCAGCTCTGGTCTAAAACGAACATTAAGTTGTCGGGAGAGGTGCAAGGCATCTCCATTAGTTAGATCTTTCGGTTCGCGAAGATTCATTGTCTTTTTTGCACTTGTTTGTTGGCTAAAGTCTGTGAAGGCTGTAACTTTTTGTGGGTTTGATTGTTTATTAGTTCTCTACTCATATGTAAGCTAATGTGACCGATGATTCCAGTCGTGTTTTATTTCGGCGTTCCTTTGTTCTTACCTCTGTTCTGATGCATTTCGTTCATTAGGTACTATAGAAAGGTGGTCGCAGTTCAAATCGTACGTCTTATGTACTTAGTTTTTCCCCCTCTGCGGTATTTGGGGTTCGTTTTCGCAACTGTTTTGGTTGATATGCGTCATAATGTGAAGCTTGACAAATGCTCTGTTCATTGTGTATATATGCAGCGGAGTTATTACACCTATGGGATATGTTTAAGCTTCTTTCCGAATGTCGATGTTATAACATCACTTTATGTTTAAAGTGAATAAGAAATTGATTTTATAGTAGCCTAATGTATATTGAACAGAAAATGTCAGCTATTTGTGTGGAAATACACAAGTAAGACTGCTATGACCACTTTCCTCAATAACTTTTGCATATGGGAAAGTGAGTAGTGTTTAAGTAACTTTCGTTAGTTTGCAGCTAAAGATTCCTGCTGTTCACGTGATCACGAGAAGAATATTCGGGAAGTCTTAGTAATTATGACGTAATCGCTTACAGAAGTATGTGTTTATATCGGAGTTATTGTATAATTACCTAGGCATTGATGCTAGCCTGTGTTCACAATGAAGCCGTTCATCTCAGGATAGTCTTTCCTGTTCAGTCTCTCTCCAAACCAATACTGAATTATAAGGTGTTAACAATCTAATAAAAGATTAGGAGTGTTTTGTTTCTTCTTGATATGTTTTGAATATATCTACTTTCTGCTTAACTTACAAACAGTAGAATTCTAATGAGGCTTAAATTAACAACAATCAACATCAGGCACAAAGTTGCGTGTTAGTGGTTTATACAATTTTCCTGTAAACTAAAAGAAATGTAAAACACTGTAGATACTTCTCCAAAACTTCCTCCATTCTGCTCGAAAACGTGTCGGTTATATTCTCTTATCATTGGATGTTTTGTTAACTTAGTTGCCAGTCGGACGCACTTCATGTAAAGACTACCGTATAACTGACTGCAATAGTGTCCGAGCACGCCTAAGAGAACTACCTGACTGAGTGAGCAAGTTGAATTATGGTCTACTATGATATTAGTACTGCTCTAATAATAGACCTAATCCTAAAATTGTAGATTTGTTGTGATATAACTGCCTAATCTATAAGATCTTACGTGGAAGTCACATCGTCTACACCAACTCACTGTATCGTAACAACTACCAATACGTGATGAAGAACAAGCTTAGGCTAGAGAAAGAACAATACATTTAATATGAATAAAAGATATAAGGTAGTTTTCAACTGGGACCACGCCTGCATGGCCGAGCCATGACATTCGACCAACTCCAATTCATTCCATTCCTTGTTCGCGCCTTCTCCATCGTTAGGTATTTTCCCGCATCAACTATTGAATATCTATTTTCTGAGTAGTCTCGTGTTCAGCTTTGAGGATTGTGTGGTTATTGTTCAATGCCACTACAAGCCTTACTGCTTTGATGTGTATGAATGACGAGTTTCCATTGATCTACATACTATCCTTACCCGGCCACAAGCTAGAACCTTTAAGAAAGTCCTTCTGGCTTATTTATTCATTATTTATTTATTTGAACACATACATTTTGGTACGAAGAGGCATCAAATACATATGCGCCACACACGTCAATCGATTTAAGCGTTGGCTGTGATACTACCCGCGTACCCAGACCGAAGCAGGTGGTTATCTTAGGGGGCCACAACCCGAGCCTTTGACCTAAACCTCTAATCCACAAGCCAGTGAAGCAACGTCAGGACATGCAGTCCCATGGCAGCCAGTGACCAATAATTCATTCATATGCCATTTGTTCCCTCATGATCCTGAAGCCAATGTGCACCACTGGTTTGGAATCAGGGCTTTTCATTTCCCCTAGGTGAGTCCTCCATATCCATCAACCCAGTTATAGCGCCGGACATTCGCTCTTTGTCCTCTCGATTTCGTAAACAACACCTGTGCTGCGAGAAGACAGTGAGAAGGACTTCCGTGGCAGTAGCTGTATGCACGTGGCCATGTGAGAGCACTTCGAGAGGGCGAGCTAACTCTCCTCCTCCCTCGACTGTACCAGGGCACTTTCTAATAAACACAAAATCACTCCCTCCTTCGACATCCGTAAATCTAGGATGATAGTGGTGAACATCAGTGATCCATCCACCTCTTATTTTCTGAATGGTTTCAGTATCACATTCCCCTGTGTGATACTGTATGTGTCTCTGCTCATCGACATCTTGTGAACAATAAGGCACATCTGTCTTGCTGTTTCCTTCCAGAAACTTAAGTAACCTGACTCCAGGTTTCTTTGAGGCCATTTTCAGTGCTCGTTCGAAACCTAGTCTGGAAAAAATCCCCTTAGCCTAAGGGGGACCTTACATTTTTGGAATGTGTTCAAAAATGAACAAACAAAAAATTACGTAGACTAAGAAACAAGTCTTACATGCTTTCGTGGCGGTTTAGACCTGTAACCTGTATAGTAATGCAGGATCAAATGGTTGCGGACGGAATAGAATTATCTTTCGCTCAACGGGCTTCCGTGTCTAGTAGTAGTGGATAACCGATACCTCCATGCAGGAACCTAGGTATATTACCGATAAAAGAAAACGGAATTGGTAAATCATAGTAAAATACTATCCTAAGTCCTTAAGAATAGGTCTGGTTTTCTCTCAAACGACTCCTGGAAAGTCGCTTGAACTAGCTCAGTTGGCAGCGAATTCAAGTATTTGGCAACTCTTAAAGAGTAACATGTGTGTCTACAATCCGTTCTTCTGTGTTGTGACTGCAGTTTCTGTGTGTTACCCCTTAGGTAAACTTAAGTAGGTGTTTAAGGGGGATGTCCGGAAGTGCTAAGGACACTGTAAACCATTAGATCACCTCTAAGACGCCTTTACTCTAATGGGTAAAGATTTAGTGATTGGAGGTGCTCTTCATAAACCTTGAATTTGAGTATTCGAACTGACTTTGTGGCTCGCCTTTGGATACGCTCCGTAATGACCTTATCTTTTCGGAGTTAGGTAGGAAATACTATGTTTTCGTACTCTAAATGGGGATGAATAAAACTTGTGTAGAAACTTCTGTCAAACTGGTCAAAATGCGCTTCAATGTTATCAGTGCAAGGTTTTCTCGAAAGGCGTTTCGGTCGCAGTTAGCGTAAGACTTCAAATCGTAGGGTACCAGAACTCCTAATCTTTTTCAACTTGAGATACTTCTAGAGAAAAGTTTCCTGAGTTGTAACTGTAGTCTTCAACATGACTTAGATGAACTACTTTACACTTTGAAGACTTAAGAGTAAGTCTGTTGTCATC